TCTGGTTAAGTTATTGTCCCCTACTTGGTAATTAGGAAGGTTTACCAAGGGCATCCCCCCACCCCCAGGATGAGAAAGCATTACATTTATGTGAAGTTAAGGTGCAGGAGGAGAGTCATCCTGCATTCTAATTCTGTGTTATGTAGAGCAGGGATGGGGATTGTGTTGCCCTTTATATGTTGTTAAATTTTAGCAACCACTAGCTCTGACCATCATATAAAATGATGAAAGATTAAGGGAGATAAAGTCTCAATAACAGCTGGAGGACCACAGCTTCCTGATGGAGAAGTAATTTCCAGTAATATTAAGTTTACTTCCAAATAATGTGTTTAGGATTTCTGTATTAAGAGGTTCATGAATTTGTATACTTTGCATAGATCAGCCATGGACCCCTAAAAAAATAATCATATCAATTCCCCATGGTGAAATTCCCCAGCTGGAGAATATATATGTGTGAACAAGCATGCAAGGGGGCTAATCATATAGGGTCATTTTTAAAAACTAGTACAGTGGTGCCCCGTTTGACGTCGATAATCTGTTCCAGCAAAATCACTGTAGAACTAAATCATCATCAAGCAAAAGTAAAAAGCCCATTGAAATGCGTTGAAAACTGCTCAATGTGTTCCAATGGGCGAAATCCCTCATCGTAAAGCGGAGATCCTCCATAGGGCGGCCATTTTCCGGTGCCTGTAAAGTGAGGAAACACAGCGGGGAGCTATTTTGAAACAGCGGGCGGCCATTTTGAAACCCGACAATCAGCTGTTTTGATCGTCATAAAGTGAAAAATCGGTTCCCAAAGCAGGGGACCGATCGTCGTCAAACAGATTTTCCCCATCTAAACACAGTTTTACGATTGCAATAGCAATCACAAAATACTCATCATTAAGTGATTTTGTTGTCTACCAGGGTAAGCGTCTAGCGGGGCACCACTGTAATCACACTGTCAAGTGAAAAGACATGTTATGTGGATAAGCACCTTTCCTCATGTAATTGACATCACCACTGTAGGTTTTCAAGCCTCTCAGCAGACCCTCCCAAGCAATATAAGGCCATACAAAGAGAATGCTGCTTCCATATCTTCGGTGTACCTATTTAGCACCTATTGAATATTTCCCATGGTCTAATGCAAGGTCCCCAGCCCCCAGTCTGCAGCCCGGTGCCAGTGCATGGCCTGAGCTGGACCGGGCCGCGAAGAAACACCTCTTGCCCCACCCACCCCCGCACACACCCAGGCAAAGGCTGTTTGCACCACACTGCCATTCGCGCATGCGCACAAGTGTGCGTGCACCCGCACAAGTGCCACACCACCATTTGCGCATGCGTACAAGCACAGGGGGTGCCCCGCCTTCTCCAGCCGGTCCGCAGACCACAAAAGGTTGGGGACTGCTGGTCTAATGGGTATATGTGTTTTATACTTCCTTTCTGGAATTAATTTTGTAGAACAGTGCAGTGCTTGGTGAATATTCTTCTATTGTTGCAGTGTGCTTCAATCAAATGACTTCCTTAGAAATTTGAAATTGCTTGTATCAAGGCTTGCAAGCTTGGTCGGGTTACCCAAATAAGTCAAAACAGAGGTTCAACTGAAAAATAGAGTTCTACCTTACTTAGAAACTAGTGAACTCCCTTCATACCACCCTAGCTAGGTTTCTTTGTAGATTGTTTGCCACTTATTTCTGCATTAAGGCTAGGATTTAGTGGGATTTAAGTAGAATAATACTAAATAATGTTTTTGAACTGGCTATTCCATTGTCTGCTAGATTTTTAGCATTTGTAATTTGTGTTCTTGTCTGAAGAAGATTGGCCGTCAGTCCTCAGTTCATCATAATTCCCTGTTCAAAACATATTTTAAATTGCACAATAGTAGCCAAATTATTGGACTTGTTTAATTGCCCTATCTTATCTGTCATCATTCTGGAAGAATTGGAAAACAGAAAAACATAATAAACATGAACCATGGGGAAAGTTTTGAACCTGCTTTTGTCATCACATATGTAAGTAGTTAGGATGTTCCCCCAGCCTCCATAAATAACTGATATATTTGAAAGCAATTGACTTTGATACAATACTCAGCAAGTTGGCTTTGCAGAATTATACTCCTTTCCCCATCAGTCTCATGTTATCTCCTCCCTTGAAACGTAACACTCTTTGGTGGGAACCACAAGGGGAGAATGATTAGTGCTGAAAGGAGGGATTTTATTTCATTCGTTACCAATTTCATGACAGATAATACCTTGCTAGAAAATGATGGTGTCGTCTGGATTTAGTTCTTATTTCTTTCTGAGTTATTTTACTGAAGTAACTCACAGGGACAAAATTGTTTGGATACTATCAGTCTTTTTCTACTGTTTGTTTTTTTGTGTTTGGGGTTTTGTTAAATTACTTTTTGTTGTTGTTCAACCTGAAAGCAGTGACAAGAAACATCCTAGGTTGCACTAGTGCATCAATTTATCCTTGTTATAGCTTCAGCTTGTTTAACCTTTTCAGGATAACCAAGAAACAAATAAGAGAAGTCACTTTGTAGAAATGGCTAGATTGGTATCATAGATGTAAAGTTTTCAATCAAGTAAATGCATTTAGAAGTTCGAAATCATCTTGTTGACTGTAATAGCCAATTACAACATAGTATATTCAGCTCATAATTTAAGAGTGTTTGCTATTAAATGTTTTCTGTATTTTACCAATCACATAATACTGAATGGCAGTTTTCCTGTAGCAGAGAGCTACGTAAATTGTTTGTACTGTACTTTTAAATCACCTGATAACAGAAGGTTTTTGGGTCATATACATTAAAAATATAAACACATACATTTTTATAATATGTCTGCAGTCTAGTAGTAAGATGCAACTCGAGTAGGCCTATTGTATCAATGGAGATTTAGAAAGTCAATACAGTACTTATGTAAGTTCCATTGATTCAGTGGGCCTACTCTAGTTGTCTCTTACTATTGGATTTCAGCCATTATATAAAAATGTACATTCATATATAGTATTCAAAACCCTATAAGGTAAAGGTAAAGGTTCCCCTTGACAATTTTTGTCCAGTCATGTTCGACTCTAGGGGGCGGTGCTCATCCCCGTTTCCAAGCCATAGAGCCAGCGTTTTGTCCGAAGACAATCTTCCGTGGTCACATGGCCAGTGCAACTTAGACACGGAACACTGTTACCTTCCCACCAAGGTGGTTCCTATTTATCTACTTGCATTTGCATGCTTTCGAACCGCTAGGTTGGCGGGAGCTGGGACAAGCGACGGGCGCTCACTCCATCACGTGGATTCGATCTTACGACTGCTTGGTCTTCTGACCCTGCAGCACAGGCTTCTGCAGTTTAGCCCGCAGCGCCACCACATCCCTCCAAAACCCTATAGTACATAATAAAACCAAGAAAAAAATGAGCAAATTACAGTGTAAAAAATCTGTTGAAAACTGAATAAAGGCATGTTTCTGAAACGGAGCTGCCCTTGCACAAAGTGATTTATTTTTCATAATTTCTTCTCTTTTACTCTAGCCCAACCTCATGCTGCAGTGTTCTGCTGGAAGCCTGATGAAATATCAGTAAAGTCAGCAAACAGAATGATGGGCAACAATGAATTGAGATATAAAAGCAGGCTACTTTAAAACCTTGGATTATCTTGCTTTAAATACAGTGGTGCCTCGCTTAACGATTACCTCGTTAAATGACGAATCTGCTTGACGATGAGGTTTTTGCGATCGCTTTTGCGATTGCAAAACGATGTTTCAAAGGGCTTTTTTTGCTTCCCGACGATTAGTTCCCTGCTTTGGGAACAGATTTTTCGCAATATGACGATCAAAACAGCTGATTGCCAGGTTTCAAAATGGCTGCCCGCTGTGTAAAATGGCTCCCCGCTGTGCTTTAGGATGGATTTTTCACTTTACAGGCACCTGAAAATGGCCACCCTATGGAGGATTTTCGCTGGACGCTGAAGTATTTAGCCCATTGGAACTCATTGAAATGTTTTTCAGTGTATTTCAATGGGCTTTTTTATTTCGCTTGACGAGGATTTCACTCTACAGCAATTTCGCTGGAACGGATTATCTTCGTCAAGCGAGGCACCACTGTATTTGGAACATAATTCAGCCAAGCCATTTGAACAGTCAGTCTTAGAATTGTTTCCGTTTGTTGACTTTTACTTGTTTTTCAGCCTCTAGAATTCCTTCATTTCAGATAGAAATTCCATATTCACCCTCTCCTTCATGGAGAGGTCTGAAACTTCAGTAGCAGAATATGTTTGGAATACAGAAATCCCAGGCTTAATATTGAATCTCTCCACTTGCAGGGATTGGAGTATTGGAGTTTCCCTCTACGTGAAACAATTGCTGCCAGTTGAGGTAGAGAGTGCTGGTATGCATGGGCCAATGATATGACTCAGTCTGATGGTGCTTAATATGTATACGTATGTAGAAACTCTACCTGCTGTTTCTTTTCTGCAAAGAGAACACAATAGGATGATTGTAAGGGAAAACTCCATAAATGTGAATGCAAGGTTTTGATTACAGTATTTCTCTCTCCATCACGTTTCCTCGTTTTAACAGTTACTTCTCTATTAGCCAAGGTTTCATCCAGACCCATATTTGTATTTGATTCAAATTGATGTTCTGTTGCTATTTGTTTAAGTATTCATCTCATCACATACATTTAGAACTGTAGAGTGATAATTAGTTGCCAGTGGCTATAATACAATAACCTGACAGTTGAAGTATAATGATCTACAGAAATAACAAGAACCATCTGTTTGATTTTGAGTTGAAGTATTAAACACTTACTTTTCTTTAAATGGAAAGAAAATAAGGGGAGGTGGAGGCGCAGTCAGTCCTGGACATCACTACTGTATTTGAAGTGCAGAAGCCCAGATTTGTTTGAACATTTTGGTGTATATAATTTCTGTCACCTTGATTTTAAAGATGTCATTTCTTCACCTCCCATATGCCACTATATTACTGATTCTGAACTTGATTTCAATCTGCTTTTCCTTGTGTTTCTAGAAAAATGGTCTCACAGATGACATTGGAATATCAACCTGGAAAGAACATGTTTTCTTATCCCACAGTGCCTTGCTGGCAAACAGCTGCCAGGCTGCAATGGAACTGGCACAGCATGATGCAGGGATCCAGAAGATGGCTTTTAAGTATGGGAAGCATATGTCTATGAGTCATAAGGTATGTCCTCACTCTTTGAAAGTTCATGAAATGGGAATCAGGCATTTCTGTCTGGTGTGCTTGAGGAGGGGCAGGATCTGTTCTCAATCATCCCAGAGTGCAGGACATGCAACAAGGTTACAGGAAGCCAGATTTCAGTTGAATATCAGGAAAACTTCCTAACTATTAGAGCAGTACAGTAATGGAATCAATTACCTCAAGAGCTGGGTGCTCCAATACTGGAGGCATTCCAGGGAAATTTAGACAACCACCTGGCATATATAATTTGATTTGTATTCCTACACTGAGTAGGGGGTTGGACTCAGTGGCTTTATAGGCCCTTTCCACTTCATGATTCTGTGACTAGTGCTCTTGTGCATTTAGATTATTGTGAATGTGGTTGTGCAAGAGGTTGCACAAGGAGCTATGCAGCTGTTTGCACAAGTGTCTGTGCAAAACTGTGTTGGATGTTAACTTGTGCTAACTTTGAAAATACGCACTGCTAGCATGTTGAGTCTTACTGGACTCAGGCTAGAGCTAGAACAGAACATGGATACAGAGAGGAGCAGCCTAGATTCTTAAAGGCTAGGTCATCAGATGCAAGAATCAGGTTTAAATCCTGCTTGAATTATAATCCACATTTCATCTCTTTAATTTTTCCCTAATTAATGAAGTGTCTTTAGCTGTTTTTATGGGGCAATTAAATGCATCTATTTGTGGACATTATTGCAATGAGAAGGAAATCTACCCTACTCTCTACATTGTGTAGCCAAGCATCTACTGGCAGAGTCTTTGTGAAGTCCTCTATACACATGGTTCCTCTCTCATTTATTAACTCAGATCCTTACAGTACTTCCAGTGTTCTGTTGAACATGTCTCCAGAAATCTGTGATTGGCAGCACAGTATTTGCTGGTATTAAACAGACATGAACCAGATGAAGCAGTCGGAAACAGCCTATTAAGTATTGCATAACGTGTTAGTTGTGGTCTTTGTGTACAGGCAGCATACTTTTTAAAAAGCCTGTGCATGCAACATGTATTTTTAAAAAGGCTGTATATTCACTTCATTATTGACAAAATTAATTTGTTATAAAGAATTGATTATGTTGAATTAAATTATGATAATGTTTTGATCCTTTATCTTTCAGCTTAATGTTGACATTCAGCCATTTCTTAATGAAAAATCTTGTGATTCTGTGGCCTTCAGTTTAAATTCTGCTCCTGTTATCTTGCATCAAGAGTTCATTGGAAGAGATCTCTGGATTAAACAGATTAAAGAGGTATAGAAATGTCTATGTATTTACAGTAGCCTTATTTCAATATCACACTAAATCGAAGATAGATATAGGCGAGGGCTTGAGAATCAAAATCAAGCCCCTAACCCCTACTGCAGGCCATGTCAGGTCGAGAAATAGCTGAAAACAAAAATAAACAAACAGGAAGTCCTTTTTTGTTGTTTTTTTGTTTTGGGTGGGAGAACCTTGTGGGAACCCCCCCTGGTCCATGAGCAGGAAATTGTAATGGCCATGGGGACAGATTTTTGTTTCTTTGGTTTTTTTTAACTTAGAGGGCACTGGGATAGCCTAGAAATGCTCATGGGGCTACAGTTTACACACTGTTGCACTAAACCATAATTCATACTTGAAGTTTGCTTGCTTCAAACAGCCGTTATTAGCATTAACCACAATTTGCTGCTTCTAACAAAGTGCCAGACTTGCAACTATCTCACATCTGCTCCGGGAAAGAGTGGAAGCACGCAAGTCCCATAGATCTGCCTTTCTGTTGTGGCTTAGTGCAGTGCAGTTATTCAATGCTAGTACTAAATGTTATTCTTACAGTATTATTATCTTCACCCACAATAGAATACCAAATTGATAAAAGGAAAACGTTATCCAACTTCTAAATATTTGTAACCCAGTTCCAATAGAAATAAAGTCTGGAAGAAGAAGATTACAAGATTCTGTGTTCTTAGTTTTAAAACTTCTTTGTTCTTACTTTTAAAAAAACTGGAAGACTTTTAGTAACTTCATATCAAAATTCATAGTCCTAGAATCCACTAAAAGTTATTAAATGGTGCAATTAAATTTTATTTCAAATAGGCAATTGTTTTGTTACATCAAAATAAATAAAATAATAGTTTTGGTTTTTCAAAAACTGATTAATTTTTAAGAACAAAGTATAGAAAAAGCACAGGGAAACTGCTCAAGCATATATAATATATAAAACTCAACTCAGAACACAGCTGGTTGGACTAATTTTAGTTCTACAGGCTTTCATATTCCTTCTGATATTATATTATTTATCCCAGAATGATCTGTTGGTATTTGGTTTAGTGAATGTCTCTTTATTCAGTGGATGTTTTGAGTCATAAGCAGAACACTTTAAGGATTGGCTGATTTGAAAGGTTTAGAAGGCATGACAATACTGTACTTATACCATAACTGGAATTCCTGTCGGTATAGGAATTCAGATTGCTACTCTGGCTTTCTCTCTATTTCTTTCCCTTTTCATATCAGAATAAAAGCAGTGAATTAAATAAGCACTTAGCTCCACTGTCTCTCATGTGATTCTAATTGTGTGAGGGAAATTAAGACCTGAATAGGGCCAAGGGCCATATTTATTCTGTTCACAAATTAATCAGAGAGAAATCTCTGTCTCATAGGCACGGGAAAGCATTTTGCTAGTGTAACAAATCCCATGGGGCTGCAGTGAAAATCTTTTGCTGCAACAGAAATCTGAAGAACTACATGTGAAGAAATTCACTGCAGACAACAATATGTTCTGCCCAGTAAAATGTGTTAGTCTTGCCATAGGACTCTTCATTGTTTTTGTTAGGGTAACAGATAATGAAGCCAGTTTACTTGTGTACTGGTTTCCACATTCTGAAAGAGGCTGTCAACAGCAAAGGTTTCATCAAGTTCCTGACAGGCCACAAGGGGCTGTTAAACCTGTTCTAGATGAAATGTTTCTTTCCTATTGTTTATTTTGAAATGTACAGTCTTTATCATTCTTGAACAACTGCTGAGTATGATTTCTAATATCTTGTAAATGAAAGAAAAAATCACTTTTATTCTTGTATTGTTTAAGGCTCAGATCAGAGGAAATTTAACAGACTATACTAAGGTAAGGAAATACCTTATTTACTTATTTTTGGAATTAGTTTTCATTTTCATTTTCATTTTTTTGTGATTTCTTACAGATTTTGGAACAAAAAATTCTTTTACTCTCATCCCACTTTTTAAAACCAGAAATTGTCTTGCAAAGCAATTTACAGCACTTAAAATACGATGGCTGAAATCCTGTTACATTATGAAGATGCATTATGTAATCTGGATGACATCAACCAACAACAGGACTACAGTGGTGCCCCGCTTAATGATTACCCTGCTCCACAATGAATCCGCTTAACGATGAGGTTTTAGCTATCGCTTTTGCGATCGCAAAACAATGTTTAAATGGGGCAATTTTGCTTCATGACAATCGGTTCCCTGCTTTGGGAACCGATTTTCCGCTAAATGATGATATAAAAACAGCTGATCAGTGGGCTGCAAAATGGTCGCCTGCTGTGCAAAATGGCTCCCTGCTGTGTTAAGGACGGATTCCTCGCTAGACAGGGACTGCAAAATGGCCACCGTATGGAGGATTTTCGCTGCACATGCAGGTATTTCCCTCATTGGAATGCATTCACCGGTTTTCAATGCATTCTAATGGGTTTTTTTCGCTTGACGACAATTTCGTTGTACAGTGATTTTGCTGGAACAGATTATCGTCGTCAAGCAAGGCACCACTGTATTTAATTTAAATGTCATCTAGGATTCTGAGAACCACTAGTGCTCCCTTTTAACCCAGTGAAGGCTTTGGAAACATCAGGATGTGGGGGAGCCTTCAGTTGTCAAAAATCACCACCAGATCACCACCAATCGTCTGTTCCTGCAATATGAGGGAAGGCTGGAGTAAATGTTAGAACCAGGCGAGTGCATGTATGTCTGTACCGTACATACATACATCATGTTCCATTGTAGCTATCTGATGTGGGAACATATCCTGCAGTTTCACTTTGATGTACATGTGAGGTTAAAATGGCCCATGCAAAAGCTACCACTGCCCTACTACATTAATTTTGAATTAGTAAATGAATTCCTGCTTAGTTTTATTTCATGTTAATTTGTTGCAGTTCCAAATGCAATGTACATATATACAGTTACCCCTAACTCCAGAAATTTCTTTCTATTCTACAGTGCCCATTTTGTGGCTCCAATTGCCAGCGCCCAGTATTTTAAAAAGCCCATTTTAGGTGCTACTACTGGAAGTCATATACACATAAGCAGTCAAATCAGTCTGTTAATACTCGACTATTGTATTATGAAACAGACCAGTTGTTAATCCATTATCAGAATGTTTGATGGCCTGTCCCAAAAAAGAACATGTCTTCTCCCACTTCTGGTATTCAGTGACTAAAGAGGCAAAGCAAAAAGGGTATGCATGTTTAGAACTTGAGGATTAGGACCAGTAGTTCAGTGACTGAGAAGAGACTATGCCGAGTTCATCAGTTTATCTCCTGTATGGGATTCATGGGTGTAAAAGTAATACCTAATGAATAAAATTGCAAATGATTCTTTCAAATACCATGTTATGATATGGGAACCTTTTTCAGCCCAATGACTGAATTTGCTTTCAAACAAGTTCTCAGGATCTGCATTCCATTAGTCACAGTGACTAAAAGCAAGAAGGATGGGACCAAAGTGGCAGCATATTTTATTTTGAGACTATTCCTGCAGGAAATTAAGCCTTAGGGAGAGGTATGTACACCTATTAGAATAGGGAAAAACCTATGGGAAGCTGGGAAGCTAGCAAGCAGTGGAATCATGGAGAAGGGTGTATGTGACCATTTCTAGAAACTGTGCATTAGATTTCACATCGCAGACTTGGAACTGAGGTGAAACCATTAAATTTTGTTTGGCCATGCATTTTGAAGGGGGGCACCCAGCAAATGAACTACTCAAATGTAAAAGGTTCTCAACAAGGCATTTCACAGGTGCCCATGTGTTTGAGTTTTTCTGAATTACATCTGAGTGGTAGAGTCAACAGTGTGGATGCTTATCCAAATCCCCTTCTAAAGTATTTTTCCTCATCATGACATTAACTATCTTGGCATAAATAGGTAACATACACCATATATGTACATAATGAACATAAGTACACATATGTTGTGGGTAATGAACTAATTCAGTAGAATATAATGGATCAATTGGGCAAGCAATGGAAATAGAGCAAGACCTCTTTATCCACAGAATCAGCATCCACTGATTCACTTATACATGATCCAAAATATTAAAATTATTAAAAGGAAAAAATCCAGATTTTTTAAAATTATATTACCAGAAACAGCCACTAGAGGGTATATTAGTGAAGAATACATAACATGGTCTCTGGCACCCTCTCTATTGGCCAGTTTTGGTAATGCATGTGAAAACCATTTTTCCTGTTTTCCCCCCACTTTATTAAGATATATTCATAATTCGCTATTATGCATGGTTTTCTGTATCTGTGAAGGGTGTTTGGAACCAATCCCCAGTTGATATGGGGGTCCTACTGTATGTTGGTGCAGGCCACAAGTGTACTTTTATGCATCTGTTGGATTAAGATAGCAGGCTGTGAACTAAGAACACAATTGGATCTAAAATAGAAAACAGTTGGTACATCTTACAAATAAATATATTTAAGTGTGTTGCTAATCATTGTTTTTGCTTACATTTTCTACCTAAAGAAGCTAGAATAATGTATTTGGAAACAAATGTGTTTATTTTGAGTGACGAGGTTCATATATTTGTTTCTGCCAGGACAGCATCCATTTTTAACACGAATTTTTACTGAAACTTCCTCCTTCACTTAAATGAAGATTGTGGGTTTACATAAGAACATAAGAAGAGCCCTGCTGGATCAGGCCAAGGGCCCATCTAGTCCACCTTCCTGTATTTCACAGTGGCCTCAACAGATGCCTCCGAGAGCACACAAGAAAACTAGATACCTGTCTTCTGATACCCCCCCCCTGCATCTGGCATTTGGAGATACCTTCTTTTTAAGCCTAGAGATTGTACAACCCCATAGTGGCTTGTAACCTGCCTCTATGGGGTTGTATAATCTCCAGGCTTAAAAGGAAGGTACCTCCAAATGCCAGAAATCTGTCCAATCTCCTTTTAAAGCAGTGGTCTCCAACCTTGGGCCTCCAGATGTTCTTGGACTTCAACTCCCAGAAATCCTGGCCAGCAGAGGCGGTGGTGAAGGCTTCTGGGAGCTGTAGTCCAATAACATCTGGAGGCCCAAGGTTGGGGAACACTGTTTTAAAGGCATCTAAACCAGATGTCATCACCACATCCTGTTGCAAGGAGCCCCACAGACTAACAACACCCTAGGTAAAGAAATATTTTCTTTTGTCTGTTCTCCCTCTCCCAACACTCAAATTGAGTGGATGTCCCCTGCTTCTGATATTGTATGAGAGGGAAAAGAGCTTCCCTCTATCCACTTTATCCATCCCCTGCATAATTTTATACATCTCAATCATGTCCCCCCTCAGGCACCGTTTCCCTAGACTAAAGAGCCCCAAATGCTGTAGTCGTTCCTCATAAGGGAAGTGCCCTAGCCCAGTCATTGTTTTAGTTGCTTTCTTCTGCACCTTTTCCAGTTCCACTATGTCTTTTTGGAGGTGCGGCGACCAGAACTGTACGCATTACTCCTGGTGCAGCCTTACCAGCGTTTTGTACAATGGCGTTATAATGCTGGCTGTTTTATTTTCAATCCCCTTTTTAATGATACCTAACATGGAACTGGCCTTCTTCACTGCCATTGCACACTGGGTTGACACTTTCATCAAGCTGTCCATCAGCACACAAAGATCTCTTTCCTGATCCATCATGGACAGCTCAGAACCCATCAACTGATTACTAAACTTTTGATTTTTTGCTCCAATGTGCATTTTCTTATATTGAAACACATTTGCCATTTTGCTGCCCATTCTCCCAGTTTGAAGAGATCCTTCTGGAGCTCTTCACAATCCCTTCTGGTCTTCACCACCCAGAAAAGTTGTGTGTCATCTGAAAACCTGGCCACCTCACTGCTTATCCCTGTCTCCAGGTCATTTATGAACAGGTTGAAAAGCACCGGTCCAAGGACAGATCCCTAGGGCATTGTGAAAATTGCCCATTGACACCTACTCTCTGTTTCCTGCTTTTCAACCAATTCTCACTCCATAAGAGGGCCTGCCCTCTTATCCCCTGACTGGGGAGTTTTCTCAGCAGTCTTTACTGTGGGACCTCATCAAATGCCTTCTGAAAATCCAGACAGACAATATTGACTGGTTCACCTGCATCCATGTGCCTTTTGACCTTTTCAAAGAATTCTAAAAGGTTTGTGAAGCAAGACTTACCCTTACAGAAGCCATGCTGATTTTCCCTCAGCAAGGCTTGTTCTTTTACATGTTTTAAAATTTTATCTTGGATGAGGCTTTCCACCATCTTCCCTGGAACAGACGTTAAGGCTAACTGGCCTGTAGTTTCCTGCCCCCCTTCCCTTTTTAAAGATTGGCATGATATGTGCTATCCTCCAGTCCTCTGGCACTATGGTCATTTTAAGGGATGAGTTGTATATTTTAGTTAAGAGATCAGCAATTTCGTTCCTCAGTTCCTTAATAACCTTTGGGTGGATGCCATCTAGGCCCAGTGACTTATTGATCTTCAATTTATCAATTAGGTCTAAAACATCCTCTCTTTTAACCTGTATCTGATTTAATTCATTAGTCAGAAGGAGCCGTTTAGGCAGCAGAATCTGCCCAAGGTCTTCTGTCATGAAGACAGATGTGAAGAACTCATTTAATTTCTCTGCAATCTCCATGTCCCCCTTTACCTCCCCCTTACCTCATTCTCCATCCAGAGGGCCAACCGCTTTTCTGGCAGGTTTCCTGCTTCTAACATATTTAAAGAAGCTTTTATTTTTTTCCCCTTTATATTGCTAGCCATACATTCTTCAAAGTCCTTCTTTGTCTTCCATATCATCTTCTTACATTTATTTTACCATAGTTTGTGTTCCTTTTTATTTTCCTCAGCTGGGCCTCAGCGTTGTTTTAAACA